GGGAAGATGGCTCAGCGGTTAAGAGCACTGTCTGTTCTTGAAGAGGTCCTGAGTTCAATTCCCAGCAACCACATGGTGGCTCCCAACCATCTGTAATGAGATCTGGTGCCCTCTTCTGGCCTGCAGTCATAAATGCTGTATACATAATAAATAAATCTTAAAAAGAAAAAAAAAGAAGAAGAAGAAGGGGAGGGTGGGAAGGGGAGGGTGGGAAGGGGAGGGTGGGAAGGGGAGGGTGGGAAGGGGAGGGTGGGAAGGGGAGGGTGGGAGAGGTGGTTCAGTGCCCGCCACCAAGTCTGATGACCTGAGTTTGATCCCCAGGACTCACGTGGTGAAAAGGAGAAATCTGACTCCTGCAAGTTGTCTTCTGACCCCCACATGCATGTCCACACACATATATGAACACACACTAAATAAATAATTTTGAAAGAGAGGGAGAGAGAGAGAAGGGATGCCAGACCTACGTTAGGAAAGAACTGCTGTCCGGTGGGCACCTGTCCCTGCCACGGAAGATCCTGCAATCCCTCTCTGTTGTACAGACCTTTTTCTCCCTCCTACCCCGCACCCACTTTTAAGATTGGGGCTAGGGATGTAGCTCAGCTGGTAGAGTGTAGGCTAGTATGTACAAAGCCCTCCATTTGGTGCTCAGCATCTTATAAAACAGGAGTGATGATGCATGCCCGGATCCTAGCGCTCGGGAATCGGAGACAGGAGGGTTAGAAGTTCAAAGTATTGAGTTGGCCAGCCTGGGATATTGGAGAATCTGTTTTGGCACAAAACAAAGACGCACTGAGAAAAATTAAGATAAGCAATATTTTTTTTAAATCCTTCTTTATTTGATTTTATGTTTGTATGTGCACCATATGTCCACAGTGCCCATAAAGGTCAGAAGGTTGTGAGCAGTCTCATAGGTGCTGGGAACCAAACCCAGGTCCTCTACAAGAGCAATAAGCACCTTACCTGCTGAGCCATCTCTCTAGCGCCAAGATAAGTTACGTTTTTAAACCACAAAGAAGATAGGGCTTGGAAAACTGTGCATTTCAGTGTGTCTACTCAAGAATGAATCGGACACAGCCGCAGGCATCACCTAGCAGCAGGCCCTTTTGTGCCTTTCCACCATATGCTTCCAGAACTCATCAAGAAGACAGTTTCTGCCACCCCTGGGAGGTCAAGGCCAACCTTGATGCGGAAGTGCCTAACGCCACCCAGCTCTCTGGCTTCTTTAGCGATCAGACAGTCGTGGTTAGTATAAGGGATCCTAGTGCCTGAAGATGCCACTGTTTTCTTGGGGGGGCATGAGTTTCCCCACCTTAGTAGCACCTACTCTTTGAGCAGTAACCGTGAAATCATTCTAGAATCTTGTTTTTGAGAGCTCGTCAAAAGGTAATTCAGTCCACTCATTAAAAAATGTTTTGGCCAGGTGGTGGTGGCGCACACCTTTAATCCCAGCACTCAGGAGGCAGGGGCAGATGGAGCTCTCAGTTCGAGGCCAGCCTGGTCTACAGAGTGAGTTCCAGGTATTCTCTCTCTCTCTCTCTCTCTCTCTCTCTCTCTCTCTCTCTCTCTCTCTCTCTCTCTCTCTCTCGCTCTCGCTCTGTGTGTGGTGTGTGTGTGTTTGTGTGTACATTCGTGCACGCACACACCTTGGTATATGTGTAGGGGTAAGGGGACAACATATCGGAGTCAGTTTTCTCCCTCCATCATGTGAATCCTGGGGACTGAACTTAGGCTGCCAGATTTGACAGTATGCGTCCCACTACCCCCAAACCACTCATTCTTTCAGGGTGGGCACTGATTTTTTTTGTTTGTTTGTTTTGTTTTTTGTTTTACAAGACAGGGTTTCTCTGTGTAGCCCTGGCTGCCCTGGAACTTGCTTTGTAGACCAGGCTGGCCTCAGACTCACAGAGATCCTCCTGCCTCTGCCTCCCGAGTGCTGGGATTAAAGGTGTGTGCCACCACTGCCCCGCTGTGGGCACTGATTTTATAGGCTGCCTGATTTCCAGTAATTTCCTCAAGTTTCTATGTAAAACTATGTCATGAAGAACTGGAGTCATCACTCACCCGAGGACCCAGCAAGGTCAGAGCTGACCTCCGGCTCCAGGACTCTGCACCTGTGTACCTGGCCTTTCTTGAAAGAGCCCAGAAACGGACACACGTGAGATGACAGAGGGGCTTACATTTTATTTAGCCTAGCCTGGCATCAAATTCACCATGTAACCCAGGCTGGCCCTGAACTCAAGGTAATCCTTCTGCCATTCTAGGCAAACACTATACTAACTGAGCATTACATCCCCAGCCCATCATGGCATTAATCTAAAAGGCCTAACTGGAAGATAATGCCTTTCTAATCATGTATCCTTTACTTGACATGTAACTACCTAGTTGACTGAGCTCAGGCCCAAACCTGTATGGCTGGTTTTGTTGGTGGTCGTCTCTGTGCTGGAGTGGAGTAGGCCCTGTACCTTCTTATGGTCACCCAGTGTTCTGACTAGTTTTATGTCATCTTGATACAAGTTAGAGTCATCTGAAAGGAGGGAACCTCCACTGAGAAAATGCCTCCATCATATCCAGTTGTAGGGCATTTTCTTAACTAGGGATTGAGGTGGGAGGGCCCAGCCCTCCTCCATGGCCTTGTCTAAGTTCCTGCCTCCAGGTTCCTGCCCTGTTGGAGTCCTTGTCCTGACTTCCTTCAGTGATGACCAATGATATGTAAATTTCAGCCAAATAAACCATTTTCTCCCCAAGTTGCTTTGGTTATGGTTTCATCACAGCAATAGGAACACAAAAACAGCCAGTTAACTAACTCTATACGAAGAACTAACTCTATATGAACCAATGTCCTGGTCAGTTTTTATTGACAACTTAGAGTCACCTTGGTTAGAGGGAACCTCAACTGAAGAGCTGCCCAGATCACACTGACCTGTGGCTGTAACTGTGAGATATTGTCTTGACTGACGTAGGAGGGTTCAGTGTACTGTGGGTGGTACCCTCCCTAGGCAGGTGGGCCTGGGCCGTAAAAGAAAGCTAGCTGAGCAAGCCAGGGAGAGTGAGCCAGGAAGCAGCATTCCTCTGTGATGTATGCCTTGGTTCCTGCTTGAGTTCCTACCGTGACTTCTTTCCGTGATGAACTGTGACCCGGAAGTGAAAGGCAAATAAACCCTTTCTTCCCCAAGTTACTTTGGCTCAGAACGTTTTTGTCACAGCAACAGAACCAGCAGACCAGAACAAGCAGCATCTTCTAAATTTGGCGGATTTCTTCCTCCTCCCCGTTCCTGTAGGAAGGATGCAGTTTGAAACTCAAGTTGAACTAGAAAAGCCATGAAAGGTCATCTCACTCTTCAGCTTGTCACTGTGAGACCAAAATGAGCCATCTTAGAAATAAGACCAAAATGCTTTCACCCAAAAACTAAGGCCTAAGATTTCTCCTTCTAGGAATAGGCGAATAGTTACTGAAACAAGTCAGTCCAGATTCCAGAAACCAGGAAGTGTAAAAGTACAGAGTCACAAGGTAGTCACGAGGTAATGACTGCCGGACTATGGAATGTCCTCTCCCTGGTTTCCAGGGTAACTGACCACAGAAGTGTCCCCACCTGAGGGCAGCCAATGAGAAATGGTGGCAGGTAACCACTCCCTTAGAAGTAAGATTAAGCCATGATTTCTAGAAAGCCCCTAGACACAATCCAATCAGAACTGTACCCATACTAGCACCCCTAAATGATGTAACCTTGTGATTTTTCCCTTTAAAAACTGAGCTTGCAGATAGGTGGGCGCTTCCTCCAGCCTCCACTGCATTGGATGTATTGGATGAAGTCCCTGCCTAGGCCTGTATTGCTTTTGGATATCCAGAATTAAACCTTGCTTTTGCATTCTGGCATGCTCATCTTGGGTGGTCTCTCTGGGGGTCACGATCTGGGCACAACAGTCACTATGGAAAAGTCTGTTTTCTTTCAAACCTTTAAAGCAATCCCAATGAAACAACATCTTCCCGGCCTGGTTGTGACAATGTGTTACCTAAGACACAGACAAGCTTTGTGCATGTGCATGTTAGTGTGTGTGTGTGTGTATGTATGTATTTGAGACAATGAAGCCCAGGATGGCCTCAAACTCTTTGAAACCTTCCTGCCTCAGCCTCCCCAGGGAAGGGGTTACAGGAGTCACCATGCCTAGCTTCAGATAACCTTCTTTAAACCTAAGTATTGTCTCTAGGCATGGGGCTGAATGCCTTTAATCCAACACTCAGCACACAGGAGGCAGCGGCAGGAGAATCTCTATGAGTTTGAGGCCACCCTGGTCTACAACATACTCTCCAGGACAGCCAGAACTATAGAGAGACCCTGTCTCAATGCGTCCCCCCAAAACAAAACAAAAAACCCACGCAAATGTGGAATCCTCCCTAGCCACCATGGAAGTACAGTACTCAGTCCTGGGTGTTTCAGAAAGAGAGCACAAGTTGCCAGAGAACAGGAGGGTGTCTGCCCTTTAGAGACACCCTGCCAAGAGGCTCCTTAGTAATGAGAACCCCTGGGAATAGGGCTGTTTTCATAAACTAGAGCAAATGATGTAAGTGGCAGCGGGCTGAGATTTGGGGACATGGACAAAGCTACCTTGATGCCATCAAGCATGCCCCTGTGGTGTTACAATGATACCACATTTTAAAGTTGCTCCTTTCTCATCTTCTACTACATGCTTAGTGCCTTTAGGAGAGTACAGTTTCTTTTCATACCTACAGCCTGCCCTTGTTTTTACATACCTTTGCCACCACACATAATCATAAATTATCAGAGCTATCATGCCCTGTACCCACAAAGCATGAGTCCCATGAGTGTAGAAACAGTCCACTGAGATGCACAAATAAAACCACGTACACTTCAAGGGGCAGATGCCCCTGGTTGTGAACGGCAAGTAAGTAGCCAATATTCAGAACTCAAAAAATGCCTGACACATACTTTTCCCCAGATCTGTTCAAGTTCAAAGTTTATATGTATATGAAATTGCCAGTCTTGACCAGGTCACAAGTTTATTACAACTTACAAACTATTTTGAAAACTGTTTTGAAAAATAATGTATCTCACATATTAACACTATCAGAAAACCTATAGACTGGATGAGAAAACTGAGGTACCACCAGTGACGTTGGCCTTTTTAAGTCTGTGAGACCGTTTTCTGAAGCCAGAGTTGGTGTGGTCTAATGGACTTCTGGGAAAACCATCCCTCTAGAAGGCAGGTCTGTACCCTGAGACATAGTCAACTCAGAATAAGGACCAACCCTGAAGATTTATCACTTATTTAACATTTCTTCAGCAGGAGTGCATGAAGAGGGGTGTGGATATGAGCAGGGGGATGGATAATCAGACCCTCCATTCCCACAAACCCTCCTTCATCTCCAGATAGAACACTAAGCAAAAGTTCCTGATAAAAAACAAACTGAAGACCCCAATTCAGACCTCCTGAGTCCAGGAGAAGAACCTGGCCTTGGCTTTGAGAAATGCTTACTGAGAACCTGACATGGTGATGCATACCTACAATCCAGAGGCAGAGGCAGTTCAAGAGCAGCCCAGGCTACATAGTGAGTTGAAGGCTACATGGTGATATTAAAAAAAAGAAAGGGAAAAAGAAAGAAAAAGCAAAATCAAACAAATACAAGCTTTCTAGAGAAGCTAAGAGGGATGCTTTCAGAAGGTGAGCTGAACCCTGGGCACTAAAGGCACCTCCCAGAGGTCGGACCGTGTTCAAGTGTAGCCTTGGGAGACTGCAATCCTGCTTGCAGCATCACGTAGGCATACTGCTGTTGCACCTTCAGGGGAGGAAATGAAGCACAAAGCAGCCTGGCTGAGCATCCTGCCTCTCCACAGGAGTTCCTGCACCATCTCCTCTTGGTGGGGGATGAGAGGGACCAGTCACCACTCCTTGTTATCAGCCAGATTACGTGACCAGAAACGCGCCAGCCCTTGGAACAGACAGGAACAAGTTTTGAAATGTTCTAATAAATATCTCTTGGAGTCTAATGTTTTTGAAATTGGTTGGCCCTTCCCCCCCTGGAAAGATCGTCTTGAGGGCTTTGATATGCTTTCAGGTCTTCTGTAACTTAGAGGATTTTACTTTCCACAAGTCAATCTTCTCTATCTACCTCAAGTTAGTTTTAAGTTACATCTGAGAACCATAAAAAGTTTAGAACAATGGAAAAGGCTGTAACTTTACAGAAATTGAACCAGAGCCTAGTCGGGGGTCAGCTGCAGGAAGAGGTGGGGGGTCAAGAGGATGACCAGTAAGCCGGGCGGTGGTGGCACACGCCTTTAATCCCAGCACTCGGGAGGCAGAGCCAGGTGGATCTCTGAGTTCGAGGCCAGCCTGGTCTCCAAAGAGAGTTCCAGGAAAGGCGCAAAGCTGCACAGAGAAACCCTGTCTCGAAAAAAACCAAAAAAAAAAAAAAAAAAAAACAAAAAAAAGAGGATGACCAGTAATGCTGAGGAGTGAGTCGTTCGTCACCACGGCAAATCGCTGCTTTAAATATGTTTTACTTTGAGTCAAGTCCGTCAAGGGACACACACTGAAGTTGATAAAACTCTACCGCCGTCAACTCTAATCTCCAAAGAGAAGACATTTGCTGCGGCCTACAGGGCATGGTCCACCCTGCATCCTGGGCTGACTCCAGATTCCCTGTGGATTCTGCTTCTGTAGTGGCTTCATGCGCTGCTGCTGCTGCTGCTGCTGCTGCTGTTGCTGCCATTTCCAAGGAGATGTCTCCAGTGGTTTCATCACCGGCACCATGAGCTCTTCATCACATTCGAGTGTCCTCGATGGGGATGTCATCCTGTGAACAGGGAAAGAAAGACCAACACTCAGAAGATCTCCTTGGGGATGTGAGATAAGGCAAAAATCATGAAGTCGGAGTGAGCCAGCAGGCAATGTGCCTGATTGTATTTATTCGCACATCATTTAATCTTCAAAACCTTAGGGGGGAGTTAGGTAGTTCTAGTAACTATGTTATAGGTGAAACAGTTAAGGCATTGAGAGAGGGAAGTGACTTTCCAGGGTCGCACAGCTAGCAAATGGTAGACTAGGAACTTCATCCCAGGGACCAGAGCTTATGTTAAATTACTTTCGAGGGCTAACAGAGCAGGAAGGTAATCCTTTAGCTACCACCTTACATTTGATGTCTATGTAACTTTTCCCTGCTCTGTGGGGTGTGTGTGTGTGTGTGTGTGTGTGTGTGGTGTATATACAGTTTCATGCAATATGTGCATAGTTGCACATACACATCTGTGTGTAGAGGCAGAGGCAGATGCTAGATGTCTTCCTAAGTTCTTGTCCATCTTGTTTATTTATTGAGGCAGAGTCTCGTGTAGTCCTGGCTGGCCTGGAACTAGCTATGTAGACCAGGCAAGCCTCAAGAGATTCACCTGCCTCAGTCTCCCAAGTGCTGGATTAAAGGTATGTACCACCATGCACTGCTTTGTCTACCCCCTCCCACCCTCTTTAAGAGTGGTGTAGAGGATCTGAGTTTAGATCCTCACATTTGCATGGCAAGAACTTTACCCCCTTCCTTGTGAAGGATGCCTTGCTCCATCCCTTAAACATCACATAGCCCTGCTGGCAGGCAGAGCCCACGTATTCTGTCTTGTTTCTGCCGCTGTGCTTTCCCCACTTTGAAGGCCCAGTCTCTCCCATGCGATGAAGACAGTCTGTGCTTCTTGGGTGCTGACTGAACAAGCGCGACCATAATTTATTTGATCAATTGATTTCTATCGATCAAAGCCACAACATGGGATCAGATTGGGAGTGGGAAACCACTTCTTATTGCATACTGCCTGTCTCTGCCAGCCCAAGGAAAGACACAGGAGAGGCCTGGGTGCCTGGGGAAATGCCAAGAGACCTCTCATAACTACTGTCACTGGGGAACCCTTTGTCCTGGTGTCTGAGGTGTTCTGACTCTAATCTGGATCAGACTTGAGAGGGACCTAAGGAGACAGGAAACAATAGTCCATGTAGATTAGACAGATAATTCACACAGACAGTGGTGCTTCACGAACAGTTTGTTCTTACAACTTGAACAGGTGCCTACTCAGTCAGCACTGAGGGAGCTTAGTGACCTTGGACAATTTCCAGGCCCACTGTACCTTCTGGTCTAAAACCAGGAGGGTGAACCAACTAGTACTGAAGTTTTGCCTCTCAGTGACTGGGGATGTGTGGAGAGGTGCAAGGCGGGAGGGGGGGGGGGGTTCTTCTTTATCTGAGCTGCTGTTTGTTGGAAAAGTGCTTCTGAGGTATTCTCTCCCTTGGCCAGGGCTCTCTGGGTTAGGAATACAGAGTATAAAGCTGGAGAGATGACCAGCGGGCCTACCCCATAGTTCCTGCCTGAATTTTGTTCAGGAAGCCACCCTCGACCTGAGACTCTCCGGAAATAAGAAGGCCCCACCAACTTCGCACCCAGGAGACCCCCACTCCTGAGGACCAGAAGAGGCGGTCAGTGAGAGGGTGGGAGCCCCTGCCGGAGGACTACTTGGACTCCAAGAGGACTAAGGATTTGGGCATTTATGGTAATATGGGGATTTAGTGGAATCTCCAGGTTCTAGAAGACTGTTTATTCTAAATCTAATATAAAAGAGGCTCAGATAGAAATGGAAAGTATTAAAGTGTCATACTCCCTGAGTGCATGTGACACTTTTTTTCTCCCCAATTTCCTTTGTATGATAAAACCTGAGGGCCTGGGAGGAGCATTCCCAGAGCAGTAACCCCTCTTGTACCTGGGCTCTTGTTCTGTCATTGGGAGTCATTTACTTCGAGCCAAGGAGACTTTACTCCTCTTTAAAAATTCATCTGTTCAGCTGGACATAGTGGCGCACACCTGTCCCAGTCCTCAAGAGGCTGAAGCAGGAGGATTTCCTGGAGTTCAAGGCCTCCTGGACTAACAGTGAGCGTCAGGACAGCCTGAGCTACAGAGTAAGACCTTGTCTCGGGAAACTAATCAATTAGCTAAAAGTCGTTCATTTTCTGTACACGTATTTTTGAAAGACCCACCCTGTTCTGGAGTCTACAGTAAGTTTGGAGGGCATACTAGAAGTGCAAGAGACAATAAAAATAGAGAGAGAGGAGCAGGTGGCTCCAGGCTTAAGAGCCCTTGCTGCCCTTGCAGAAGACCTGGGTTTGGTTTCCAGCACCCACATGGCGGTTCACAACCATCCCTAACTCCACTTCTAGAGGATCCAATGCCTTCCTTTAGCCTCCGCAGGCACTAGGCATGCACGTGGTGCACCTACACACATGCAGGCCAAAACATGCATACACATAACACGAAATAAATAAATCTAAAAAAATAAATCAACAAAACTCGGGAAAATGTCAAAGTAGGATTATGGGAGAGAGTAACTGTGGAGTGAGAACAGGTTTCGAGTGGTCACAAGAGAGGCTTTAGTGATGAGCATCAGCTGAGCTGAGACCTGAGGATAGGCTGGAAGGGGCCATCTGAGGATCAGGAAGAGGAGGGTTCTTGTCGGAGGGGCCTACAAAGGTTGGGCTCCGAGTAGGGAATGAACCTGGTGTGCTGCAGGAAAAAGACACTGGATTGCTAGAGCACAGCTCTGGGGAGAGCCAGGGAAGGAAGTGTGTGTCCATTCCAAATCTGATCTGTTTTTACAAAGCAGATTGCTGCAGACGTAATGAAGGATGTCAAGATGAGATCACACCGGCTTGAAGGCACATCCTGCATCCGAAGACTGCTCGCTTATGCGAGGAGAGAGGAGGAAATCCAAGACACACGGACAGAAAGGTCACAGATAGATGGAGACAAAGACTGGAGAGAGGCATCCTCAAAGCCAAACACTTAGGACAGCCACCAGAAGCTGGGGGAGGCAAGGAAAGATTGTAAGGGCTCTGACAGCAGCTGACAGAAGAGGGACAGGTTCTTTTTCAGCCCTCTGGAGGGGCTGTTTATTAATTTTGGTGTCTCTGACATTCTGAACTGTGAGAAACTACATCCCTATTATTTATTTGTTTGTTTGTTTGTTTGTTTATTCATTCATTCATTCATTCATTCATTCATTCATTCCGAGACGGGGTCTTTAACTCAGGCTGTCTTGGACTCACTATGTAGCCCACACTGGCCTTGAACTCATGCCGTCCTTCCATCTCACCCTGAGTGCTGGGGTTTCAGGCATGAGCAGCAGCACACTTGGTTTATTTCTGTTGTTTCAAGCCTGTGGTGCTGTGCCTAGAAACCTAACAAGAGAGGTGAGAAATCCTGCCAAGAGCAGCTCCATGCCAGTCAACTACCCATCGACCGACCCACGATGTGGTGACTGTGTAGAGAATGAATCTCATCGAGAGAACGAAAAGGGGTAGCTGAAGGGCGACCATAGCAGATGCACGTGGTGGCTGAGGGAGCGACAAAACCAGAAAGGAAGACATAAAGGTGACCGAGCTGAGGAAACAGTCAGGAACAGGCTGGGGTGGGCGCCCAGCTGTCCTCAGGGAGCTTCCAAGCCTGTACACAACCCGGTCTTCCCCTGAAGCAACAGGCGAGTTCAGGGGGGATTTCTGGGAGCCGGTGGGAGCAGACAGGTGGAGGGGGAAGGTCCAGGGTGTGGGGGCTGACAGAAGGGCAGGGACTGTGCTCTTTCCTTTCTCAGATGCAACACAGGACATTGCCTGTGACTATGTGGATGTCACACAAAGCCTCCTCTGAAGACCCAACCCAAGGCCACGTGTGCTTGTAAGTGTCCCCGATGTCTTGTCCCTGCTCTCCACACACAGACTCACCTCTGAACCCCAACAGCAGCACCCTGCACAACCCCCCAGCAGACATTGCCGGCATCTGTCACCCAGTTGTCAAGCCCTGCTCACTCCATGCACGCCCAGAAGTTGGCCCAGTCAGCTGGAGGCAGGCCAGAACACGAGACACGCTTCCCTTCTTGCCTCACAACAGAGACAGTCCGTCTCTACTCAGTCAGCACACGGCGAGGGGCCTGGTGACTTTGTTTCTGCACACGGAGCTGATTGAGCACCAGACTGGGAGGAACAGGACATGCGACAATGGGGGCAGCTCTGGCCACGATACGGTATGAACCATCAGGGCCACCTACCGTGGAGACTTCGTGATCATTCTGGATCTCATCGCTGGTCTCTACTGGGACACTGTCGACCCCTGGGCTGCAGCCGGGCTCTAGAGATGCCCTCTCCTTTTGCTTTGTCTCCAGCTCGGGGACAACGCTACCCTCTATTCTCCCAGAAGAACTTTGAGGGGCCTTCTCCCTGGCTGCTCCCTCCTCTGGTGTCTTCGCATCTGTGATTTTCTGTCCAAACCCCTCCTCTTCATCTGCCACACTCTCCTCAGAGGCTGTCCCTTCTGTGGCCTTCTCAGTGTCTGTATGCTCTCCGGATGCTGCCCCATTCTTAGCCTCTGTACTGGTTTGGGGGGGCTCTGGGGCCTCCAGACCGCCCTGGCCAGCTGTGTCTGGATTCTGTCCAGCCTTGTCTCCTGCATTGGCCTCCTCTGGGGTCCCGACCCGCTCTTCTGGCTTCTCCATGCTGTTGCTCCTTCGAGGAGGCTTTTCTGCAGACCCCGGGGTTCCCTCCACCCCATCTCCCAAGGCCTCTTGGTTGGGTGGGGGAGACCCGGGGGCCTTGTTCTTGCTAGGGAACACATCATCCCCGTTCTCTTCCCTGGTACCATTTTCCTGAGATGGTTCCACAGCCCTGTAGTCTCCAAGGTCCCCACAGTCTGACTGAGACCGTCGGAATCGCCGGGAGGGAGGACGTCTTTTAATTGAGCCTCTTGTCCGCACCTGGAAGAAGATGTGAGGGACTATTACCTTGAAAATAAAAAAGTGCTGAATGAACTCACTGACGGTCCATTAAGTTTCCTAGGAGGGTGTGAAGTTATTTGCTGTTTATTATAAATCAGAACCTAGAGCAGCATTTCTCAACCTGTGGGTCGAGACCCCACAGGGGTTGCCTATCAGATATCCTGCTTATCAGATACTTACATTATGATTCACAACACTAGCAGAACTACAGTTATGAAGTAGCAATGAAATACTTGTATGGTTGGGGGTCACCACAACATGAGGAACTGTATTAAAGGGTCGCAGCCTTAGGAAGGTTGAGAACCACTGCTCTAGAGGATTGTAAAACTACTTGGTAAGCTGCAGATTTTTCTCTCAGGAAAATACAAATGCTTTTCATCATTTAATAATTGGGGCAGGTATCTCAGTGAGTAAAGTGTTTGCTATGGGAGAGTGAGGGCCCGAGTTTGGAGTCTTGGCACCTATGTGAAAATCAGAGGCAACCCTTGTATTTGAGACAACAGATCCCTGGAGCTGGCTGGCCAGCACACTAGCCAATTGGTGAGCTCTGGGTTCAACGAGAATGGCCCAAAACACTGTAGATGATGTCTTTTTACAATGGCCCAAAGTTTGAACACCCCAAGTAGTTTCCTTGGGCACACCACAACTTACCTTATTGTAAGAGGGCAGGTGAGTACCTTCTGGGGGCTGGTCAAAGCTCACAGGCACCTCTTCTGCCTCACCTGGCTGAGACCGGATGCCAGGGCTACTGGGTGTGGAAGGGGGACTGTGAAATGGTGACACTATGGCCTTGAGTCCAGGACTTTTGGGTGAAGCCCCAGGCAGAAGAGCTGCTGGGTCAAAGGCTAAGTTGGCCTGTTAAGGAAAGGGAAAAGATGACGGCATCTGCTTTGTTCCCTCACTGGCCCCACAGCTGGTTGAGGATGCTCAACAGGAAACTCTGTGTGCGTCTCCCCAACCTCCAATTATCCTCCACTACACTATGGCTGCTTCTGGAAGCATGGCCTACCCATACCTGCTACCTGGCTCACAGGAGGCTGCCTTGTCGGGTGCTCAGATTACGACGAGGTAGATTCAATAGACACTCCAACAGCCCTGGCTGGGCACAGTGGTGTAGCCCCCTCTCCCCCATACAGGGTTTCTCTGTGTAGTCTTGGCTGCCCTGGAACTTGTTCTATAGACCAGCCTGGCCTTGAACTCAGAGATCCACCCACTTCTGCTGGGTGCTGGGATTAAAGGAATGTGCTCAGGAGACAGAGGTAAGCAGATATCTGTGAGTCTGAGGTCAGTCTGGTCTACGTTAGTGAGCTGGGACTACACAGTGAGGCCCTGTCTAACAACAACAATTACAACAGTAATAAGTGGAACAGCTCCAATGAGCAGTCACAGGGGCCCAAGGACAAGCTGCTAGCAGCACCTTTAGCTCCCAGATTCTTGCAGTATTTGGCATCCACATCATCTTCCCATCAGCCAACAGCATTTGCTGCCTATCAATGCCTACTGTATACAGCTATCACCTTTGCATGCACTCTACTCAGTCAGTGTCGGGCTCCTGAGAGGAAGGAAGGGGACTTAAACTTCCTGAGGTTCATGGCAGGCCTGCTTGTCCCTCAGGCCTCCAGGTAGAGTTCTGTCTTTGGAGACAGCACAATGGTGGATTCTGCACTCTTCAGGGTGTCTCTCTTCTGACCCCCTGGGGCATCACAATACAGTAGAACCAGATCAAAACGGATACAAGGGAGACCAAAGGAGGAGTTACTCAAACTAAAACCTAAGCGACTCTACAGGTTCGGTGGGGGGACATGTGGGAGACCCCAGATCAACCTTACAGACGGTAGAGCAGGAAGGTGGTTATGGAGGGATTATGTACTAACAATCCAGACAGGGCCTCACGAAGCCAGGCCTTCAACTCCCTATGTAGCCAGGCATGGCCTTGAACTTCTGAGCTTCCTGCTTCTGTCTTCAGAGTGCTGGGGTTGCGGGCATGCTCCACTATGTCCAGTTTTTGAGTGCTAGCAACTGAACTTTGAATTGAATTGGGTTTTCTGAACTCTGGCAACTGAGCTACATCACCAGTCCACAGATTTTTAGCGCCATCTGGGGGCACACCTCTTCCTCCTGCCCTTTACAGACGCTAACCTACACAGTCGAGTAGATCTGACTGGGCTGGTCACATGTGAGACCTCTCAGAAAGGGGACCAGCAGGAGAGGCCGGTGGGGCACCAGAAAGTCCCACACACCCAATTATATTTAACATAGGATCTTTCTCCTACTAGCTGCTATATGATCTTGAGCAAATCTAAATGCCTTTTCTGAGACTCGGGTCCTCTATTTGTCCCAACTTTCAGTGACCTCCACAGCCTTTTATGACTGATTTCTGGTGGCTCTCATGCATTGCTTGGCTAGTACCCCACACTCACAATGTCTCCCCTCCCACCCTCCAGCACTTCCCTGAGCCAAGACTGATGACCTTGAGAGGTCCCAAGAGTTGTTAGCACTCTCAGGCTACAAAGCATTGCGTGTGTTTAGGAAGGTAGCCCATAATTTACTGTGTGAATGCACAAAACAGACAGGACTGAGTCATGGGAAGAATTAAATATAGAAAATGCTCAAGCTAAGAAGCAACATTGTTCATATATATATATATATATATATATATATATATATATATATATATATATATATATTTTAAGTAGCCTGTGATGAGTACCAGGGAAAGGCTGGACCACAGGAGTCATGGGAGCGTGCATGAGGCAGGCAGGGAAAGGCTGGATGGACCACAGGAGTCATGGGAGTGTGCATGAGGCGTGCATTACACGTACCTGAAGCTTCTCAATCAGAGGTGAGCTCTTCACCTTGATTTTAGGTGGGTGGCTGGCGCTGTATGGTGATTTCTACAGAGAGCAAATAAACCCGAAAGAATCAAGTGAGCCGGGGGAGGAGAGGGGGCAGTCTCTTAACTGTCACCACCTTGGTGCCACACCCACTTACCTCGGCAGGCCTGAATGAGGCAGGCTTCCTGTATTCCCCTCCCCCCACCATTCCACCACAAGCAAGACCACTTGAGTTTGAGTTGAGAAGTCAGGGCAAACATTCGTACCACAGGAAGCCTCCCGTCCCAGGAAGAATGACTTCATTGTCATTAGGAGGAAAAACTACATCTGGGGGATCAAGGCCTTCACCTCATGGCCTTCTACAAAGCAAATCAACAATTGGAGGGAATTTCACAGGCAAAAGGCAGAAATGGTCATAAACAAAGCAATAAATCACAGGCTGGGGATAGAATTAGATAGAGGTATTATTAAAATCCCTTCACTGAATTAATATTTTGGACAATCCCACCCATGGCCTGGTTCATATAATTTTCCCAAACACTGAATACAGTTTAATTTAGCAGATACATGTGTTAAGTATCTACCAAATGCCCCCATGTATCATGCTAGTTCCATGACGATGAGTGTGATTTATTCTCTGCCCTTAACTGACAGCCTGTGGCTGCTATCTATTACGTATGCTCTGTTAATGACTTTCGTGATCAATGTATACCATGAATTTTTCCTGCTGTCAAATTATATATTTGTAAAAAGATTGGCTCCCTGTTTTATGTTAAATTCCCACTACTTTGCAAAAGTGATGGCAGTTGTATGATGATTAAATGATGGTGGAGAAATAGAAGATGATTTTCATGGTGACAGACAGGGCCGAGCACAGAAGGGGTTTTTCCAGTTTGGGACCAATGTAAATTACCTCCCCCCATCTCCATTTATGACTGTACTGGAACCATAGGAAAAAAATACTGCTGCTCTCTTGGTAATATTCTGAGGTATCTGATTATATTTTAGTTGTAGAGGAAGAGAGACGGACTCAACTGATCAGAGGCCTTTTCAGATGCCAGTGCCAAGGGAGCGCACGCTGCCGTGGGGCAGTCAATGGCTGGGACTCAGAGACCTGCCTCCTCCTGACTCCATCGTTGATGAGTGGATGGATGCCTGCTCTACCAAGATTTCGTGGCTATGGCAAAGAATGCTAAGGGCTTTCTTTCAAGCTCTAGATTGCCGCTGCCTCCATGAGTCTCCACTGCCAGACTCGTTCCTAGGGCAGTCAGTCTGTCATGGAGCCTTTTGTTTCTAGTGAGCATCAAGATCCTTCAGCCCCAATCGGGAGGGTCTTGGTTTCTGGGTGTCACCAAGGATTTCCTGTGTTTTCGTAAACTGCAGCAAAACTTTCTCTACCAAAGCTCACTTTAGGTAATATTATGAACTCTCCTAACTGTGTTTGAAGACAGTGGAAATCCAACAAACAGTGCCTTTTAACCACAGTGAGTGCTAGAGACCCAGCAGAAGTGGACTGTGGAACTAATGATTTGACTACGGAATCAAGTGCAACCGCTGGTGCAGTTCACAGGATGGACAGCAGAGGGCAGCATTTGGCTTATAATTTAATCACAGGCTCCAGGCCAGTGGCTGGGGCTAAGACAATCTGCAGAGATAAACTAGCTTGACATTCATACATTTTATGTATATGTGTATTAATACAACATTCCAACAGTGTATTATGACATCTAGAAGTTCTGGACCTGATAGTTTCAGGTGGATCGATATTCATGTCCTTTCAATATCCATCCAGTCATCCGGTTCTCTCAGAAAAGGTAACTTGTCACTTTGCCTACAGTCAGCCGGTGAAATCCTGGCAGCTGACCCCACATCTCAGGCCCAGAGGGTTCTAGGAGGTAAGGGATGAACTGATCCTTCCAATCCCTATGCACGAGCAACCTAGGGCAACCCGAAGGCTCTCAGGGTTCCTGTAGGTTGCATGTACTACGCAGGCGTGTGACCCTTCCACGCGGCTCTGCCAGGCGAACCGTGCCCTCTTTCTCTGACAGAGGTTTCATTCTGAAGTCCGGCACGGCCTGGAGCTTGCTATACAGACCAGTCTGGTTTCCACATGGCAATCCTTCCATGTCACTCTCTGAAGGGCTGGGATTATGATTGTGTGCCGTGACACCCCACTCTGAATTTCACGGCAAAAAGGGAGTCATTGATCCTGGGGGCGGTGGTGTTTGCATGAACACACAGCATCTCGCTCCAGAAGGGGTGTTCAGTTTAAACGCCACCTTCCTCTTCACATTACCCCTTGGCCATCACATGCCTTTAACTTCTGGGTTTCTTGCCCCATGGATAAAAGCTCTAAAAGTTTATTCTTATAAAGTCCGTGAAATGAAGCCGGACAATCCAATCACTACAAACCTGACTCGCTTCATCTGCTTTCCTTCCCACGAGCAAAGCTTCCCCACCCAGCCCCCACCTCACCCCCTCCGCACTCTTTCTCGTAATGTTCCTGCCCTTGTTTCACAAACAAGGAACTAGTGTGGGGCAATGACCCCTCTTGGGGCAAGCCTAGGTTATCAGGGGGCAGCCTCAGACGGCCACAGGCCACAGCGTCAGCCCCGCACCTCTACTGAGCAGAGGTGCCAAGCTCAGCAGGGAAGGGCGACAAGGAGAAGTTAACCCTTTGCAAAGAGAAGCTGGTGGTGGTAGCACTGGCTGGGAACGCCACGAAGCCATAGCATCATGGTGCCAGCGCCTGAGGAGACCCAACAAAATAATCAGTTTGTTAAACTCAGCTCTTGGGACTTCGCAGCTCACAAGACCACCCTGTGCGGTGGAGAGGGAGTTATTCCCAGAGCAGACGGGCCCCAGATGCCACCCCTATTTGACTGAGAGTAGCTATGAGTTCTCCGTCCTTTAAATTTTTTTAAAATTTATTTTTAACTAAATAATTTTTTATGCATACGGGTGTTTTGATGCCTGGTGCCCATAGAGGCCAGAAGGAAGGCATCATATTCCCCCTGGACCTGGAGTTAGAGATGGTTGTGAACCACCATGTGATGTGGGTGCTGAGAATCAAACTCCGCAACACCAATGAGTGCTCTTATCCACTGAGCCATATCCCATGTGCCAAGTCCACTGCTTTTTCATTACATGTATTCATTCATTCATTCATTCATTCAGTGTGTGTATGGAGTGTGTTTGGCACATACATGCCATAGCATGTGTATTGAGGTCAGAGGATGACTTTGGGGAGCCAGTTTTTTTTCCTTTGACCATGTGGTTGCCAAGGATTGAATTCAGGTCATTGGGCTTGGTGATAAGTAAGTACCTGGACCTGCTGAGCCATCTTGCTGGCCTGAGTTCTCTGCTTTTTGATGCACTTGTGAGCTTTGGGTTGACAAAAAGGCTTGAAAAACTATTCATCTACATCAACCGTTTTACTCTATAGGGGACCAAATGTAGGTCTGCCTAAGTCCACAGGGGCATTTGGTGCCTTTTATCAGGATGCTGATCCCCAGAAAGAAGGGGGGGGGGGAAAGAGGGAGCTGAAGTGGGAATTGGGAACTGAGCTGTGTGACTTGCTTGCTCTATTTCGGGCTTGGCCTCCCAGGCCTGAAGACAACGTGCAAATTGGTTTCTGGCATGACCATGGCCGTGACCACAGGGAAAGTTCATGGGCTGCTGGGTTGGGGCCTGCGGCGGCCACTCTAACAGCTACAATCAGATAAATAAGGCTGGGCAGGCTGCAGGCTGGGACTCTATTACTGGCTATGATCTATGACACCAGAGCCTTCATTATGCTGGCAGCTCTGGCTATTTATATCCGAGGCCCAGGAGGCCTCCTGTGTGCTCTGGTTTTCTTCCAGTGATCCTGAACAATAGCCAGCCTTTTTGAGGCTATGGAGGGACCGTGAACTTCTCCAGCATTATAGTTCTGCCTCTGACAGCACAGCCTCTCTGTCCAGGACCCTTCTACACCTCATCGAGACTTAGATCGAAAAACGGCTCTGGTCTCTGACTGATCCTTAAGGAGTCTTGGTGTGAGAGACTAGGGAAAGCTAGACTCCAAGGTAAAAGATCCAGGAAGTATCAAGAGAGACTCATTCTTGTATCTGAGGTGGAGAGACCCTTGGGCAGACGTCGAGGTCTAAACGTGTGGTGTTTGTAGCTCTTCCTGCAAGGGGGATGAAAGCCCACAGCCAGCATCTCTGATCCCAGGGTAGCACTTACCTCCTCACCATTCTGGCCCAGCTCTACCTTGGGGGGGAAGAGGGGGAGAGAGCAGGGTGGTCTCCTTCTGGTTGGTCTACTGGCTGGTGTCTAGAGGGAGAGTAACAGACGACACAGAGAAAAAGAGAGGGGGTGAATCAGGCAATAGAGAGGGAAAGGAAGAATTGGAAAGCGGTGTTAGGGATGATTAGAGATGTCTAGATGAGGAAAGAGTGGAGGTGGAGCTGACTGTCTAGAGACTGTCCTCCTGCTGAGTGGATTAGCGCTGGCCATTGCCTCCCTTCCCTTTCTGCTCAGCAATAATGTCCTCTTGCACTTAAGGTCCCCAACCTGAGTCAGCCTCTCAAGATGACATCCACAGTTCGCCTTTTTGGCTATGAGGCAGAACTAGTCTCTGAGTTCAGTGCCATCTCCACTGTCCTTTAGAGCATTCCTCTGTCTAGATATCCTGGTCGATTTTATTTTTAGTTAGGAAAACAAAAGCACAAAATCCTGTATGTAAAAGAGTAAGGCAGCTGAGCTGTCGCTGTCTGTGGGGCCACGGCAGACCCTTTCCATCTGGGGGCTCTCCCTTTTATTTCTGTTGTTGCTGTTTGACAGAGTCTCCTGTAGCCTGGGCCTAGCCTTGAAGTCCTTAAGTAACTGGGGATGACCTTGAAGTCTTGGTCCTCCAGTGCTGAGATCCCAGGTGTGCAACTCCACGCCCGCCATGCTCAGCTCACGCCCATCTCCCCCAACAGAGCTTCTCTGTGTGTAGCCCTGGCTGTCCTGGAACTCACTTTGTAGACCAGGCTGGCCTCGAACTCACAGAGATTCACCTGCCTCTGCTGCCTGAGTGCTGGGATTAAAGGCGTGCGTCACCTCCACCAGGCCTCAGCTCACTTCTAATGGGAGCCACATGACTGAGAAAATCCAGTCCAACTGTCCAAAGTCGTAACACTTTGAAAAAAAAAAAAAGCATTTTCTTTTTCAGCAGGATTCTTCTAGAATCTGCTGGTCCTACATTCCTGGTTTCTTTCTGGAATGTGCTTCCAAATTCTCAGTTCCGGATCTGATGCAGCCTTGCCGATCTCCTGCTTCTTAGGCTAGAAGCAGGAGTCGGGCGTGGGGACTTCTTTACTCTGAACCCATCCAGGCTGGACAAAGGGGTACAGCACCCATCTGTACTCATGAGGAAAAGGAGTCCACACTTTGCCTGTTTTTCACCCCTCCTCGCCACAGTGGGAGCCTGACTCTGGTAGGGAAGGATTCTGCCCAGCCTCAAGCCAGTGGTGGCACATTCCTCACATTCAGAGGGACCCTCTCTGGCTTCTCTTCCTAATTTGGTAATTGCCAAGACTCCTCCTGCCCTCTTTCTTCTCAGGGCCTGACAGGCTTCCCCTTCCTCCAGTCGCCTCCCGGAAGAGGACAAGGACGCACCAAGTCTCCAGACTCACCTCCCTGGCTACAGCTGCTTGCTCCTGAAACCGCCCAGCCAGCTGAGCCACGGAAGGCTGTGCTGAGCTGTCCACATTGGAGTTAGTCTCTGCGGCTCTTTCCTGGCAAACAGAAGAGAGGCACACGTTAATCAGCAAGTGTACACCCTGCTCTTCAAAGGGTCCCATGGGGTGCCACGAAAGGCACCCGTTTTGTGGTTCCATCAGGAATTCTAGGATGAGATATTTTTAACAGTATTTTGCAACTGGCTCCCATATTCAAGATTAAAAACAACTACACACACACACACACACACACACACACACACACACACACACTATTCATTCATCTACATTTAGTGAGTAGCTACAATGTACTGGGGTTCTGGAGACAAATAGAATAAGGCCTTGTCCTAGACAGGAGCTGAGGGACTGGAGGCAGTCAGGGCAGGGTCTCTCACTCCGCAAAGACCCGCCAGACATGGGAAGTGTCAACGATAGTCTGCAAACCTCTGTCCCCTGTTTAATGACTCTGAAAAATGGGGGGACAGTGGGGTGGCAAAATGCATTTGGAACTAGAGCCTTTGTAGGAAACAGAGAGAGCATTTGCCCTTCCTAGTTTTCACACCCAAATGTGTATGATTTTGTTTTCCCTACTTGACTGAATGCCTTAGGTGATAGTGACCATTTATTAAATTAATGAATGAGAGGAGAGGCAGGAGCAGACTGGCTGAGAAGGGGGCAGGCCCCTGGGACTCAGAGACCTGCTCCGCCTCTCTCATTGCTTCAGGGGTCCAGCCTCAGCAGGGGTGGTCCAGCCTCGGCAGGGGTGGTGCCAGCGTCTCTCCTTAGGCCACTCTGAGTTTGCTGACTGACTGTTTAATGGCTGCAGGGGTGAGGGGTAGGGGCACAAGCAGCAGGGTTGTTGTTATTATGACTGGCCGTGGGTCTAGCCTTCAGTCCTGGACATTAGTTTATTGATGTTTTAGGCCAAGATGCCTAGAGGGCATAGTCCATCCATCCCATGTGCTGCTTGTCACCATGACACAGGGTGAGTTACTGACCCTGGAAATGGCACTCATTTCTGCTACATACACGTGGTCTACGTAATAACCTGTTTTTGGATTTACTTTCTCTCTCTCTCTCTCTGATACAGGGTCTTGTTGTGTAAACTAAGATGACCTTGAACTCATGACCTTCCTACCTTTCCTTTTCAAGTGTTGGGATTATAGGTGTGCACCACCATACCTAGCTCCTTGTTTTTGCTTTTTAAAGTGTGTGTTGTGTTGTGTGTGTGTGTGTGTGTGTGTGTGTGTGTGTGTGTGTGTGTGTGTGGTGTGTAGGACAGAGGACAACTTTCAGAACTGCAAGCTGGACCCATAGCCAGTCATAATAATAACAACCCTGTTCCTTGTCCCTCCCCAATCCCCCACTGCCATTAAACAGTCAGTCACCAAACTCTGACAGCCCTAAGGAGAGACACTGGTGCCGCCCCTGCCCAGGCTCACACTGCTGAAGCAATGAGAGGTGGCACAAGCCTCTGGTTGAGTTCCCGCAGACCCCTTATCCTGTCCGCCGCTTGTGGGAGTCAGCCGGTCCCAGGAATTGAACTCAGGTTATCAGGCTTGGCGGCAAACACCTTAACCTGTTGAGCCATCTTGCTGGCCCCACCTCTTGGCTTTTTGGTGGTCTTATGTGCTCAATTCTAGAGCTATTAGGCTTTCGCTTTTTTGTTGTTGTTGTTATTGTTGTTGTTGTTGTTGTTGTTACCATGATGGTGATATTTCTTAACACAGGCGGAGAACCTCATCTCTCTCCCTTTGTCTTGGAAGGACTTTGGGTAGCAGTCTGAGAAACTCCATCTCTGCCTCTCCACGGGTATCATGGCGTCTGAGATGGATGGTGCCTCACTCCAGTAAGCATGCATCTCTATGCCACTTAGACCCTGTGCACAGACACTTCCACGTCCTTTTGGTACTAAGCGGTTTTTTAATTTGGTCCCTGCTACCTTCTGGCAACCAAGGGGAGTAAACACAGCTGACTGGAAAGGAAATTTGTGCAGAGGGAGGAAAGAATGAATGGAGCTTCAGACCTCCTGCTGTGAAAGGCTGTTCTAGGGCCAAAGTCAGGTACTTTCGCTCATCCCCACTCCAGTCTAAACACTAACGCTGATTTCAAGGAGGACTTCAAATGATTCACCTCTATTCAAGATGCCAGATTTCCCGAAAAGTTTCTGGGAAAGCCCTGGAAGCCTGGAGCCCATCCGAAGAGGCTGTTGGATGGGCTCAGGACTGGTCCATGTCTGATCCTCCCACTGGCCATATGAGGTGTGGTCAGAGACCCGTACTTCGATGTCCGGGAGCATCAGAAAGGCTTTAGGGACAGAGTGTGGTGAATCGAGCTGCCCTTGGCCAAGATGAGGGGCGATCGGTTTGTCCATCTGTCTAGCTTCCTGCTCCACACCAGCGTGGCCTCTGTCCACGGCTATTTATTACTCCAGCCCTGCTGACGGTGCACCCTACCTCAGCTTTCAGGCGCTGAAGGCTGGTGGTGCAGTAAGAGACATTCCAGTTAAAAATAGAGCCACAGGGGGACGTCAAAAACACCGGAACTTCTCCGTCTCAAAACTGTGTTTGGCAAGGGGCTCAGCAGCAGGGGAAGGTGAGGCTTCTGGAAGCACTTAGGGCTTACAGGTTGGGTGAAAGGGAAAGTTCTAGAACAGAGTTTGTTTCCTGAAGTCCCCTAGGCTAACGAATTCTCTTTAACTGACAAGGCTTCTCACCCCCACCTATCTCCAGAACATCTCCTTTCCTAAATTTCGGAATACTGACATGTGACTGCTGTGCATCACATTTAGCCAAGGGCACACAGGAGAAACCAAATGGGACTAGCCGTGGGATATTTGACCCTGACACCCAGCGAGGGCCACGAGTTAAGTGATATACCCCGTGAAAGCGCTTGGAGAACTGTGCAGGGCTGTTATGTAAGTATCAAAATGATTATTAGCCACTCAGCTGCACAGGTGTAGTGGAAGGAGGCAGCGTGGTCTTCAGGCTGGTGGCTCAGCCCACGTGAGGCTTGGCCGCCATCTTGCATTACACTCCTAGCCACAAAGCTCCTTCAGTGGGTGCAGCAGCTTGCAAGGCCATCCCAGGCTGGGGTCCCACTGGGCTCTGAGGTTGTTAGTAAGGCCACACTCCCAATGTCTCCTGTACTGTACCCCACCCTCATCAGGCCTTCTGTAAATCAAACTACTCTTAAACACACTGTGTAGCTGAGGATGATCTTGATCTTTTTTGTTTGTTTTTGAGACAGCGTTTCTCTGTGTAGCCCTGGCTGTCCTGGAACTTACTCTGTAGACCAGGCTGGCCTTGAACTCACAGAGCTCCTCCTGTCTCTGCCTCCTGAGTGCTGGGACTAAAGGCGTGCGCCACCACGCCTGGCGATCTTGAGCTTTTGATCTCTTTGCTTCCTCTCCCTAAGCGTTGAGATTACATACATCGACCACAACGCCCAGTCTTATGTGGCACTGGGAACCGAACCCAGGGTTTTGTGCATGCTAGGCAAGCACTCTACCAACTAAGCACCATCTGTAACCTATGTATTCTTGGTTCTAAGAAAGACCTCAGCCTGGCGGTGGTGGCGCACACCTTTAGTCCCAGCACTGGGAGGCAGAGACAGGCGGATCTCTGTGAGTTCGAGGCCAGCCTGGTCTACAGAGTGAGTTCCAAGACAGTCAAGGCTACATAGGGAAACCCTGCCTTGAAATAAAACACAAAAACAAAGAATGACTTCAGCATCTCTACCTTGTTCTAGGCATCCCCCAAACCCTCAGGCTCCCTGGATAAATACCTTTTTTTTTTTTCCTGGTTCTTAAAGTACTTAGCACTGGGCATGAAGTGAAGAATGTGCTCACCCAGGCTTCGTTCCTTTATCCCTCTCTCTTTCAGCCCTATCTGCCAGTGTAGGACCCCAGGCCCCTGCTCCTACAGCCCCTGACACCCTCAACTCACCCTGTGGACCACACCTGTTTGCAGCCCCAGCCTCCACATCATCCTTCTGGGCCTGGATCTTGTTCGCTACACCCTTCCTGCCACCAAGCAAGCCTGGCTCTGCCAGCTACCTTTGAGACCACAGTTGCAAGAGTGTCCGACTCTGCCGAAGCCAGGAAAAAATCACCTGTGGTGTTTTCTTTCCGTGTCTGTGGGGTTTTCTGAGTGAGAACTGAGGAGCTTATGTCTAGACTGTGTGGAACTTCCTGGATGATGTTGCCATGCTGAGTAAATACAGCTTGGAGGCTGCTGACCATCCACACAGTAGAACCTTTGTGTATGGTCCAGAAGGCCTGCTACCTCTCTGGCTCTGCCCTGCTCTCCACCCTCCTCGATGTTCCAAAATCAAAGTGACTAACAGTCTCTGGACCGCAGCGTAGGGGAACAAGGGATGTTGAGAAGCTTCATTGTGCCCAGGAATGAGAGGTCTGTGCCTGAGGGTGGGGGATCTTTTGCTCTTAGCCAATAAGAAGGTTCCTTGCTCACTCAAACAGTGAACCCAGAGCCTCAAAGGCATGAAAGACGCTAGCTTTTTTGGTCCTCCAGAGAGGAAAAGGATCTTAGGACAGGGCTATCTCCTAGGAAGAGTTTCCATCCCTTTCAAAGCTCTTAAACATCACTTGGGAAGGATCAGGGAAGCATCTTGGGTGTTCTCTTTGTTCCTAATGCTTCTGTTTATCCCAGTGTTCCCTCATTGCCATCCTAGGATGATGGAGAGGTTACTGGACCAGACTAGGCAGGTCCATTTATCCTACCTGTCTCTGTGAGCACTGTTCTTAGAGCAGTGAGAAGCTGTCTGATTTTTACCTCTTCTAGAGGAGAACAGTGAAACCCACGCTGCAGAGTAACTTTCTGTTAAGTGAGTTAGCGATGGTATGGGAACCACCTTGGTTCTAGAGAGCCAGCCTTTCCCAGACCTCAGGCCCCACAAGCCCTACCCCTTCACTGGAGGGTGTGTCTCCATCTGCTCTCATCACAGACCCTGTTCTAGGCTCCAAGTGTAACAGTGAACAAGACAGAATTGTTGCTTTTCCAGAATTCCTATTCCTGTGAGGGAAAGCACCAAGGGAG